TAAAAATTCTGAACGCTTCGAAAATATAATAAGGTCTTGCATTCCATTAATTTCAACGTCGAACTGAAGGTGTAAAAATTGAGCAAAATATTTTCCACCTCAGATCCTCCCAAATATAAATTTAGACAGCCATAAAATAATAAAAATTGAACTATCATATTATAAATTAGTATAATTACTGACATATATTATAAGAAAAACAATGAGCACAAACAAAAATTGATGAAAAAAATTAAATTTGGATAATTAAACAGTGCTGTCAATCGTAATATTAAAAATATAGTTTTAAAAACTCTGAAAGTATATATGCTAAACATGAAGAATCAAATTAAAAAGATTTTTTACCTGGACAGAAGAGCCTAACAAAAGAGTCATTGACACAAACTTTGATCAACGGCTGTGGCTACAATTAAAATATTTTTTTAAGAGTATAATAAATAATGAGTAACATTACTTCTTGTTCATAAATTAGTGACTCACAAAACATTGTTTCTAAACATACAAACTTTTGTAGTTTTATTTACAAAGCATTTACAAAAGTACTCAATACAAATGCATGAGTACATGTTTCGAAAACAAGCGACTTCAGGAGCGAGATTTCAAATTTGTACGAATGTAATAAATTAATATTATAAACGAGTTGCATACTATATTTTTTGTAGCAAATATATAAGCATTATACATTTATAAGAGAATCAAACTTAATTTTGCGAAACAACTTCCCTGTGACAACTCGGGTATTTGACATCATGCGAGTAAACGGTGGTTGGCTTTTCCGTTTAACTTTACCTCCCCCGATTTTCTCGTTACAATGGGCTGAATGTGTGATGACACACTTATTCGCAACATAAAATCTAATTAATTAATAAAGAAAATAATCGATCTCATACGTTTATACTATGCAAATGCTCCTAACGTTCTTCTCCGACACCTGACACATTGATGATAACATTTGTTATTTTCAATACAAAACGTAAAGTGAGTAAATTTATTGGCTTTGACCTCAGTTAATCGCCGGGATACAGTTACGAAAATAATGAACAATACGTAAAAAATTAAGGAGAACAGTTAAGGTTACAGTACGGAAAAAAGTCTGTGCCATTCTGTAGCACCATAGTTGAAAATTTACTTTTAAAACTAGTCTTTACAGGAGCAGGTATTAGTTTATTAAGAATTGAATTATCCTTTGCAGATTCTTTGGCAGGTATATCAAACGAAAATGACCTAATCCACGTTCAATAATCAAGAGCATGAGGGAGAAACAAACTCCGTAATATCCACTCCCACTCCCACTCCCACTGAATCAAACACTGTAATATCTCCACTAACGCAATTTCCATGGAACAACTTGGATTTACAGAACTCGTCGCCACACACCACCAATTACTTCGCATGTCAGAACATAGCCATCTTTCTAAAAGTTGCCCAAGCATATGACCGGATCTGAAAGATGGCATTAACCCACAAACTCAAATAAACAGCCTCACCTTTTTTATCTGATAACAACCAACTTCCAAATAATCCAAATAACCAATATCCTTCAAGATAGATCCACCTGGGTCACGGTCGGTATCAACCGATCAGATCCTCAAACTGTCAAAGCAGGACTACCACAAGGTCGTCGCTTTCGTCAATGTCATTACGATATATGCATTCGGTCATTCCCTAGAACAGCCTTATGCTATTTTATAAAGAGTTCTCGATGCTATCAGAGGACAAGTTTTAATAAGGACTGAAAAGCCATTTTTAAGATTATGATGAAAATGATGATGTTTCATCTATTGTAGCCCCGAAAATTACAATATCCATATCACACTCGCAGAGACTTGAGTTCGTACGTAAAATATATCAATTTTGAAGAAAATCGTTTGAATAGTTTAGGCGCTTAAGTTCGCGACAGACATTTTGCCGTGAATCGACTTTTCTCTATCGAGAACCTATAGAACATGGACTTTGACCACACAAATGTGTTAAAGGAAGTAATATACTACATAAGGGAACATTATTTATCCATTTTTCTCCACCAGGTCCCGTCATTAGGAATTTCCTTGTCGAATAATCGCCCTTTTCCAGCGCACGAATACAATACTTTCTCTTTTGAGAAAGTAGTTCGAAATAAAAATTCAGCTGAATAATGGATTCTAATTCTTGAGAAAGTTGTACAAACAGTATAATCTTAAGAATTTCAATTGTTTTTTAGCTTTCTGTGCACTTCCGTGAAGGATGTTTGTTCGTTCTGGTGTTTGATGGGGATGGACTTCCTTCCGCATTACTACATTTCCTCTAACTTCGTTCCAGTTTGGAATTGAAATTTAGTTTACAATTTGTGGTTTCAGAATACATCAATCCCGGAAAAGAAAGAAATGTGTTTATAAAGGGGAAAACATTAGTGATTCAGGCTGCAATATTTACTTATTCAACTGCCACGCGAAGATGATTATTGAAGGGTATTAATCAACTTTGAAAATTTGGAGAACAGCTTTATCATAATGTCGTGTTCTCAACATCTGATCTTTAGCAGCTATTCCAACTGCTTCCGATTCTGAATTCATTCTCTCACATTTAAACTATATAAATGATCGATCTTTATGAGTAAGCACATTGTACATTTTTTAGATATTGTCCCTGGCTTGGTTTGTCTCTCCATGATTTCATTAATATGTTTTCTGTCTCACTCTTATGTTAAGTACGTTCTGAGACTGTGTTATTCTGCGTATCTTAGGAGTTTTCTTCACAATGCTTCTTGCTACTCTTGCAATGCCTGCTTTTTCAATTCTTCGGTCAGATTTCATGACCGTCCTTATTAGAGGGCCATCTTGGTGACTGACTACATACTCTCCCATCCCGTCTATTTCGTATTGCATTGTGCTAGGAGGCTTCAATGAACGGTAACAATACCGTGAGGAAGGCAAACGATTGAAATAATTTTCTCGGACTGAAGGGTTGTTCTCCAATGCCTTCTGAACAAGATTTAATCTTTCAAATAATTCGAACATGGAGTTTCCATTTTCCTACTGTGGCCAGATTTTGGGACAGTTTGCATCTCTGTGTACCATCGGGACTCTAAACGTAGGATATCCCGATAAGGCGCACTACAAAGTAAACTATTAATGCCCTGAGCGTTGTCAGCCGGTCTTCTCTCCTCTTTTATACACTTATATATTAGTGTATACGGAAATCCCGGATGCATGTCGAAGTGTAGGTCGGCCCCAGATTTCACCTTCCAGTGAGGGACATAGATACCTCATAGAATAAAATAATTACAATATTAACGGACTCAATTATATTTACACTACTGGCGTACAATACATCAGAATTTTGCTTGAAAGTGAAAAAGATTAAATTCATGTAGAATGTCCTGCAAATTTTCCTACGTGCAATAGTCGAGATTACTCGGTTTCATTGAAGCAACGGATGCAATCTTACCATCTCTAGATTTATTGATTGATTGATAATTTAGTATGTGTGCTAAAATCATAAGTCCCGTACGTGTAGTGCATGTCTTAATACGGGAAGTTGGCAGTGATCTTTCTCCGATGGAAGCCGAGATCCAAACCAATCAACTTCATCAATCCGCAATCAACCCGTTGACTTGCGGGGTTTTCCTAACCAGGTCCTAGCCGGGACACGTTCTAAGCTCTCTACAGGTCTCCCAACAAGTGTTAAAATAAATAGTGCTTATGAGTGTGTAAGAAACGGGTGATGATAGGACAAGAATGAGGAAGGACAGATCGGGTGCAGTCCCGTTTGTAGGGCTACTGCTCCGGCATTCGCCTGCTGCCGATCGGAGAACCCACTGAAACCAACCGATCAGAGCAGCCGGCAGCTAGAATTATTCTCCACACAGTCTGAATTCGACCCAGCTGAAAGCTAGTATAGAAAACCCTGCCACCTTCGGGGCTCTAACCCTAGCACAACCCAATCAGAGACACTGCAGTGGCATCAATCGATGCCCTGCGCCACCTACATACTCCGGTGGCGCCTCTCGATAACCAAAGGAACCGCCATCAATTGTCCCATCTGTGTGCTTTGTACTGTGCGTCTGGACTTTGCTCTGGGTGTTGGCTTCCGCGCAGTTGGCAACGCTGCAGCGCGCCGGGCGCGGGCGCGGGCGCGGGTGCGGGCGCCGCCGCCGCGATAAGGCGCCGCGCCGTCTCATCCGCCGGAACAACATGGCGGCGCGCGCAGCGGCCGATGACGCAGGGCGCGATGCGGTTTCCGCAGGCGGGAAGGCGGAAATCTCGTCGCGGGGCCTTCGACCAAATTGCCTTCGCTGCTCAACGTGGAGTGGAAATTGAAGCGAAATGAAAATTAACTGACTAGCGCCGATCTATTTGTCGAGATTGCTAAGGTCGTAGCGTTCTCGAACCACAAAATCGCGGGTTCGAATCCCGCCTCAGACATGGTTGTGTTATTTGTGTATGTGTGTGTCTGTATGTTCGAGTGCTTTTTTCACCATTCATTATCATAATTTCATCTCATTCCCCAAAGTGAATCAACATCATCATCATCATCATCATCATCCATTATTTTTTTCCATTTACTGGGATATAAAAAAGGAATTAGCATTTAAATGCTGATTCCCCACTCTAGAAAAGAAACAGGCACCAATCCCCATAATCAAGACTGCGTCCTGGTAGGATGCATGTATCGCATAGCCCCAAGATGGGTGATTCACGACCCCCCTCCAAAAAAGAGACTAGACTTTGCGATTAATAAAGGTTTTTAGAGCCATTAAATCCAAATATGACATATAAAATTCAAAATGGCGGATACAAAATGGCTGACATTGCTTAGAAATGAGTGAAGTTGCATGAAAATATGACATATTCGGATTCAGTAACTCTGGACACCTTTATATCCATATTCGTATTCAATTGCAATGATTTTTCGAATTCTGGTCAGCATTCCCACGATTCTGACCACTGTGCGGCGCGGCCTGCGTGCGTGCGTGCCTGCGTGGACGAGCGGGCGGCGCAGAGGCGCAGAGGCGCAGACGCGTAGAGGCGGTGCGCAGGCGAGCGGTGCTGAGCCGTGCCATGGCGCAGGCGCTAGCGCTGTGGTGGCTCCTGGCTGCGACCGTTGCGGCGCGCACCCCCATAGGTGAGTCCACGCTGGCGGCGGCGCTGCCCGAAGGCGCGACCGACACGGGTTTCATTGATTGATCGATCGATCGATTGATTGATTGATTGAGTGCGTCAACTGCACTCGTATGTGTAGTGAGTGTTTTATCGCGGGAGGTGATGGTGAACCTCCCCGTTGGATGGCGAGATCCAGCCTCGACCTAGACGAGGTACTTTTCCCATCCAGTTGTCTAGCAGGGCAGGATCCTGTCTGTCTAGCAGCGGGGAAGATCTAAGCTTTCGACTGGTCTCCCAACATAAGTGGCAGTGTAGTGCATGTAATTGTGTGTGTAATTAAGGGGTGGAGATTGGATAAGCTCGAAGAGAGAAAAGATAGTGCGTGGACCCTGGTCCCGTTTGACAGGATATTACTCCGGAATTCCCAAGTGTTGACTGGAGAAACTACAGAAAACTAACGTCTAGAGCAGCTGGCCATAAGAAATCCTCCAGACAGAGCCAGAAATCGAACCAGCTATCTAGTGTTGAAAATTCTGCCACTGTCGGAAGAGGAAACCTATGACATTCTGGTCACAGGTACAGCAGTTATTGAAGGCCTCAGTTCTTTACGCCGGCCCCGATAGGGGCTGTGGACCACGCGAGGTCAAATGAGAAGCCGTTTCCACACCAGTGGTTTATCTAGGCACCCCCGCGTGGTGTGCTACATCACCCTAATGTTTTAACTAGCACACTCAGCAAAGATCAGGATCCCCCCCAAGCGGTGAGGTCATAAAAAAATACGCAGATTTAGAGAAATGAAAGCAAATAAGTTTTGTGTAGTATAGTAATATTACTTCTGTACAGCAATAGTCTGTTTACAGTTCTTGAAAGTATTTTTTGAGGACCTAATACTATACAAAAATATTGTTTTCTTTGTTCTTGAAATATAAAAATAGCAGCAGAGTAAGTATATATGTTAAGGCACAAATGAAAAGTACAACCCTATTATATTTTTGTTACGTAAAACAAGAGCCAGTTGCACATTGTTTATTTTGAACGGTGCTTGCGATTTGAAATAATAACTGCATTGTAACAGTTTTCCCTTCGTTTACTATTAATCTGTTATTATGAAACGAATTCAAATGATACCAAAGCGTATTATTTATTTAGTTATTTCTCATGTTTTGCGAAGAATATTTGTATCTTGAGCAAAGAGAAATGTTATTCCGTTTCTCAGCTTCAAAGTGAATAACGAAGAACGGAATTCCCCGTCCCCTCTTCGCGATCGGGTTTTCTGTGGTCAAATAGCACCGAACGCGCCCATTTACGGAAGTTGCAACGCCATCACAATGCCCATCAACGTCATTATAACAGATAACTAACCGAACTTCATGTCCGTACGGACCACTTTTTCATTTATTTATTTGATGCACTTAATTTTATTTCTTTATTATTTTAAATATCCCATGTCGAAGACATACCTGCCGAGCTAAGCTACGTAGTTGTAAATACGCCTCTGAAGATTTCTGAACCAAGAGCTTCTAGGTTTTACTCCAGATAAATAAACTGTGTTAATGCCGACCACGTTTTGGAAGAAAATTCTAGTAGCCGGCTGTACCAATCGGTAGTTTCCATAGTACTCTGTCATCAGTCACAAGCCGGAGAAGTGTCGAAATCAGCTAATCGCGAACCGCGCACGATCGGTGTTCCCCATGCACTTCCCTCTTGCCTCCTAGGAATAGAGCTAAACATTTCACAATGATTTTGAACAGAAATCGGCAGACCGACAGATACGAGCTAATAGAGTGCTATATTTAAAAGAATTTTGACAGCTGGTGCTACCAACATAACTGAAGGATCTGTACTCGTTAAGACCTTCCGTCCATTTGACTCTCCTTTCTTATTTCGTTCGTTTGCAGTTTGCTGACTTGTAAATGGCTTCAATGCTTCCTTTTGTGATGTCCTCGTCCGACGAAAATACAGTGCGCTACGACCAATAATTGAAATTAGGATGTGCAGTGCTACGTATTCTTTTGTAAAAAATATTTTTTATGAACATTACATTGTATTTACTTTTTGCGTGATAAGTATTATGTTTATTTTCAAACAGAGTCTTGAATATGAGACGCGCACTGATGCACGTGTTTCCTGCTTCTTTGCGGAAAGGTGGTGAACTGTGATCGAGAGCGTTCCGTGGTTCCAAGCTTTGCATTTAACCAATTAATTGTTTTAAATAATTACACGGTTGTGAACAATGGTGGTTCGCAATTTTCAAAATGTCCTATGCTTCAATAAAAATAGGAATTATAATAATCCCACGTCCTTCTATTTCAGCAAACAATGAATATTAGTGATGCTTGAACAGCACGCATCTTCTTGCGCCTAGTAACCACTCTGGAATACTGCAATTTCTGTCTACATGACACATTAGAGTCATCGCTTGTAAATTTCATTAGAAATCGTAAAACACTAGATGCAAAACCTAATTCACTTATAGATAATATATCAACACAAACTTCAAATTTGTAATGGCTAAAATATGCATTTAATTGTGAAGTAAATAACTCGACCCAGCGGGGTCGTGGGGGAGGTCGGGGTGGTTGTCTAAACTGCACGACGTTGTGAGCGCGGCGCTGTAAAAATGTTTCGTTTGGTATTACGTACGGCGAAACTCTTTTGTCAATAATTGCCAAAACTCATTACCAACTATATTCAGAATTTACCTTCTATATGATTTAATTTAATGATAACGGAATTTTAGAGAACTTGTACAGAAAACTCATTTCTTCGTAATTCATCTTTTAACTGTCTTTGACATTATATAGAAAACTTTGAAATAAATTTAAAATTCGGTTAAAAGTCAGCCTATGGTCAAGCGTCTAAAAACGTTTGGTTGATTTTCTTTGAAACTGATATTCCTCAAACGGTCTGAACGATTTCGAGGCTTTGTAAGTTTAATACGGATATTCTGATGGGGTATTTTGATGGGGTACTTTTTACATTAAGCTTCATAAATATTTTAAAAATTTTCTGAAAAGAGCACAGCATTTTTTGATTAAGTTTTGCTTTTGAATAGTTTAAAAGACTCTTAAAAGAATTATGCTAGTCTCATGTTTTTTATAATCCCCGACTTTTCAAAACTTGCACAAGTGCTATTTTTTGGCGTATTCCTACAACTACAATATTGAAAATAGATATTTTCCCTTAATAAAATCAATGCCTACAATATAGATCTTCAAACAAGTTCATATAATTTATTTCAAAAATATGAGTAGTTTTTGAGTAATTTTACGCGAAATACTTTTTTTGGCAAAAATCGTTCCAATTTTCTTTTTTTTCGTTTTCTTTTCATATATAATACGGGACTGTAAAAAATGTGGTGCTAGTCCAATTTTCGGAGAACTCTTCTTTTTATCAAAAATTGAATATCATTTTCGATGTTAACATATCAAAACTACAAAACTGAAGATAGATATTTTGCCCTTACCAGAGTCTGCTATAAAAAATCAACTATATAAAAAAGGTCTGGTAAGATATTTTGAAAATAAGAAACTTGTATACATTTATAATTTCCCCCCCCCCCTCAAAATCCGTTTCAAATATTTTCTTCAAACTTTTTTCACTGATAAAAGAGGGAAAGCTTAAAAATGGCGCGCGTCTTATTTTTGTGGAACTGTCTGAATTTACGAAAATTGCAAATTTAGAGATAATCTGAGGAAGTATGTGCCGTACTAGCTCCACACGTATCGAATACAATTTATCCAATGTGATTCGATAATTATGAAAATCAAATTGACACTACTCAGAATCTGGGAATCGGTTATTCGGTTGGTGAAATAATTTCTTTAGGATAAAAAAATTATCGCGTACGTACTGATATCCTTGAGTTGTGTTCATTAGTAATTGGTACCTGATTGTCTTTGATTTTTTTCGTTCATCTAGATAATTGGATCGTGTAAAAGGTAACTACTGTATTGGGAAAAGTGTTTAAGGTACACGACGTAGCAAAGGGCTGTGGTAACAATGTATAGTTTGTTCCAAAATTTTAAATAGTGTAAATCAACTGGGAGAAAAGGAAAAATAAAACGCTTTATTATTTTAATCCTGTTAGTCATTTCACTCCATTGGGCGGAAGTGGTTTCTCCCAAGTCGCCTGTGACGCACAGCACTCACTGAATCACAAAAGAATTTCCGTTATTTAACATCAGCAGTGCGTGACACTGACTTCTTATCTTCGCAAATAAAATATTGATAGACAATGACAACAGATAATTACTGGTTTTTCAAGGGAATTCTGGTGGGAACACGTAAATATTGTTATTGTCTCCGTACCCATGCTATCTTTCCGAAGTCACAGCATAGACGGAATATGAGGATCACGTTTGAGAGGAAGCAAAGTCCAAATGTCATAAAGGTCTAGTTGTACGAACTAAAAACAACGCCTGGTTGGATATCAAGGTATCAAGAAGTGTGGATGTTTTTGGACGAGGTTTATTAAGAGAGCTGCAACGGAGAGCCTGTTGGCAAATGCCCCAGTTCAAAACCATTCACATTTTGGCCGAAGCGCGTACAAAATTTGTTTAGTACACGTACTTCTAAAAGTATCCACTTCTGGAGCAAATATCTCAAATTTATTTCTGTTGTTCATATTACATATAGAAAATGTACGAAGGATAAACGTTGGTTGTCCCATAATCATTATTGACATGTTCAATGGTCACCATTGATCATTGGTTGCTTTTTTAATGTATTGACTTTTACTGCGCATACTATTTGCGTATTTTTACTGACCCAGTCTATTAAAATGTTCCAGAAATCTCAAATTTACGAACAATTCATACTACAGAAAAGGCTTCTTTAAGATATGAGGGGGAAAATACTTTATCACGCGTTGTTGTCTATTGCAAATGTACGTTAATTCGTTTCTTTTTGTTTCAGGATCTAATGAAGAAACGTCACTACGAGCAAGTAGAGCTACTTCCAAGAGCTTTACCATACAAATTCCATGTCTCAAGGATCAAAAGTGTAGAGGGGATCTGTTGCAATTTAAGGTAATCTTTAATGTAGGGTCGCAAAATGGTGACACGAATTAAACGACACTATGTGTAATATTCATTAAGGGATTCATTCTTAGTTATTTAAAAAAAATATAGTTGGTATGTAGTTGCCATGTTTATCATTTCACAAGCTAAACAAAACATACTATTTGGTTTCGAACTAAACAAAATATACAAATGAAAGGAATAGAGATATAATTTTCGGAATGATAGCAGTGATATCTATCACGTTTTCATCTTACGTGAAGGAGTTCCTTAAGTGTTTAACCTTCAATTTTTTTATACTGATTATCCTGCCACGAGATGGCGATCTCTACCACTTGACAGGTTTTCTCTAGATCAGTGAGGGATGGGCCAATCGAGGGAAGGTGATTAGCCCATCGCTGGATTCTAAGCGTTGGGAATGGGGCAGGATAGGAAGGGAAGGGAAAGGAAGGGTTGCGCTCTGTCTATGGGTCTTATTCTAGTACCCTGTCTCTGGTAGCTATTAGGGAAACACCGGAAAGAACTCATGAAACATCCTACCAGTTAATGCGACTCCATCAGGATACAAACACGGCAGGGTCAAAACAGGGTGATTTCCAGCACCTGGCAGGTATGTTATACGCAACTTTCCAATCACTTGTGTCCTTAAGACTGAAGTGGTTGCCTTAACGCTCACCAATATAGTTACAACATTGATGTCGATGTTTTCAAAACATCGTTGTTATAAAATCATCTGTTTATTTAACTTGTCTTATCGAAACGATAGGAACTTTTTCTGAAATGGAAACTTGAGTTTTTTGGTAGGGTAGGATAACAATAAATCAAAACCATGAAGTAATTTTGGTTCTCGTTTTAAAGGAAGATAATAAAAGGGTGTAAAAGGAACGATAAGGAGAAAGAGAAAACAAGGATGTGGGAATTTGGCCAACAAATTAATTTCGTTGAAAATGTCAATGATAGGTAAAGAAGAAAAAGACGAACAAAACATTGTAGGTCCCTGTCTTTACGTCCCTGTCTTTGTTGCTAAAACCGAACGACACACTGTGCGAGACATCTACGGACATAAATACGCGAAGAAACTGTGAAAGACCGTTGCTCGTGCTTTTTCACTGCGCGCTTCCCCCGCCTTGTCGCTTTAGGGTCGCCCCTCTTTTCTTATCGCGTTCGGAGGGTGACATCAACGCGGGAAGCGGCGGGCGGGGGGGGGCAGCGAGTCGCCGGCCGCCGTGACCAAGGACTGTGTATAGTACGATTTATTTAGTCGTGCACTGGGCGTAAATCAGCTGTTGCAGTTTCATCCAATCGGGAGCTTATATGTCGCTTCAGTGACATCACTGGGGACGTTTAAGCTCCCGATTGGATTTGGATTCCATTGGTTTAAGCTCCCGATTGGACACCGTGAACAGCTGATTTACGTCACGTGCACGGTTTAAAATATCTTTGTATATACGAAATGTTGTTATCTTGGTTGTCGGAATGTATGTGTTCAAAGTGGATAACTGGCTGGATCTACTTGGCTGACCGCTTAACGCTACGTCCTAGACACGGGTACCAACGTTTCGGCAGTCACACTGCGACCTTCCTCAGGGCGAAATGCGAGACATAATGAATTTCGCTATCAGAAAGGTCGACAAATGAAGACAGATATGTTAATTTGGAGAGAAATTGCAGTATAAAAACTACTACGTAACAATTATTAAGGGCGAGAAAGTATATGCTGTTTTAGTTAAGAAAGGTGAACTTCTAACAGTTTTCAAAACATTTGACGAGAAAGGGAAACACAATGTTATAGAAACACTATTTGCAACGAGAACAAACATTGCATTCATTTTCAGAAGAGACATTTCATTGCCTGATCCGCAAAACGACATTTTTCTATACATTGCAAAGAATAATTAACAACCTCTAAGGTATCACACGGCAAATCATTTGACATTGCTTATAGATACTAAAAAACTCTTTGAGCTGTTCACTCCAGCATCGGCACACTGGCAGTCGAGGGGTAGAAACATTTACAAAGAATATAATGTGATTACCAGAAATTCCTGAGTAGCGCCTCGCGTCACGCTACAATGCCAGTTCACCTCGGAGGCGGGCAGGCAGATTAGTAGTGATTTTCCACCATAGTTCAGTATCAGTCTCGCCACGCCACACCACAATAACAGCCGTTCCGAAAATGCACAGCAGCTGTTCACCACGCGAAAGTCTCCGAGGGCGATAACCGGCCGGCGGGTCTCGCCCCTAACCCCAACGATAAGGAGGAGAGGGGGAGGGGTCAGTGGAGGTGGCGGCGGGGAAACCATCTCCCTGACGCTGGGCATGCCAGGGGGCGCGAGATTCCTGGGTTATCTGCAACCTGGCGAGGTGGTGACAAACTAGGTGATTTGGCGCAGCCAGCAGGGATTTCAGTTTCTTTTGTGGGAAATTCATATTCACGCCCCCATAATCGATTTTAACACTAAGGAGCTCCCAACCTGGGAGGAAAATTACAAGTTCATACAAGCAGCGCCCCGCTGGGTGAGAAATTATTTGTCTGCAGTCTGCTTCGGCACAAATTTGTTAACATAGTAGCACTAGTTGGGAAAATGAAATATGTTCTAAACAGTCAGTTCTATAAAAAAGGTCATGCAAGTAAAAGAATGCCTCCCCAGTACATCATACCAGTTGGGATCATGATGTGTTTTGAGTGGGTGAAAATGCCATTGTTGCATGTGATGGTTAAAATTTTCAAAATAGCAATTTCCAAAATACAATGTCTCACCTCTCTTGTGTTAATATTGTACATTCCGTTTCTGTTTTTTTGTTTGATCCGTTGTGTTTGGATATATTTATTCCATGCTGTGTAGTTCATACCGTTTCATTAATGTATTACAGACCTGAAGAGGGAAAAATAAAGTCCAAAAAGTTCGCAAACTAAAATGTCTTTAATTAAATGACCAAATCTCAAGAATAACAATATCGTTTTTGGGACAAATATCTAATACTTCAATAGAATTAACACTATGGTTTGTTTTAGAATAATAATGCCCAGATTAATTTATGCCCTGATATTGCAGAAATAACCAGCTTTATGAATGAAATGAAATGAATGAATCGTCTTGAAATGAAAATTATTGAAGTTATGATCATTAGAATTTGACCCACTTATTTTCGACTTACTCGGTTGTTCGATTGTTTTCATAGTATGTATAGGACAAACAAATAGTACAGAGACAACTATAAAAAAGTTGAAATACAGATTTATTTATTTAGAATAAACTTTAAATGTGTTCATAGTAGTTGTCTTCCGGTTGCCAATTATTAAATTATGATAATTACATAATTATGATTACCTATCAATTCAGTGTCTATAAGCAAATACTGACATACATTTTGCAATTTCAGAAAGTCAGTGATGTGGAGTGGACCCACATAAAATCTGTTCAGAAGGAGACAACTTTAACCAACCTAGAGAGTAATTCAGAATATGACGTAGAAGTATTACTTGGATTGAACACTTCAGAAATAATTCCTAAGAAGTTAAAAGTCTGGACATGTCCTGGTAAGTTAAATTAATGATGTATTTAATTTTCCTTTAGAAAACTCAGGCCGTTCATCTAGAACATTTACCTAAAATTTATATTATAAAAATAAATAATGTTTAAATGTGTAATGAAAATGCTCAATATAGACTGAATCTACTCATACGTATGTTTTATACCTATGATGTGTCTAGTCGCGTATATTAGCTCATTCTTTCAGCCAATCGTGGTACTTTTAATGTCTTAAAATTAAATAATTAACTGTTATTGCATATTGCATTTAGAATCGAAACTTTATGTATGTGTTTGAAATATATTCAGAAAAAAATGATATGTTTTCAGGAAATTGCAAAGAACTAGTAGTGCTACATCAGGACATATTCGTTCTCTCTCGCATTATCTATAAATTTGCAATTTTCAAAATTTGATTTGCAAAACGCAATTTCCAAAGTTTGAATCCAAACAAACACGAGATCTTCGCTATTCTTATGAAGGTTCTTTTTTCTATCCGTTTCAATAATTTTTAAAAAATTGAAGCGTTTTTTTTAGAAAATGTTCTTATAAATTGCTATATTTAAACCACAATGTAAACAAAACCAAATCGTTTTTTAAAAAAATGTATATGGCTTTTTTAAAAAGCTGATTTTTTAGATCAAATTTTGTTCAAACCACGGATGACAGAGAAATAATTCTAGAAGCATGTCTGGGCACTATTTGCAGCCAATATATAATCATTTAATACGTATATCATTATGCTTCATACATATGTACTACAAAATCATAATCTCAGTTGATCCAAGCCTTTTTTGTTTCAACAAGTCCAATCAATAACCATAGGCTGACAATCCATTTTCAAATAACTTTTTGCCTTATCTTTACTAGTTAAAGACGATTGAGAAGTACTTTTTCTTCATTTCAATATATTCCATTAACAGTGTTAAGATGACAAAATGTTATAAGTCATTATTCAAACAGTTTCCATGACAGCAATCAACATCTAAGCATCAAAATGTCATTAAATTTATTCTGTGCCTTTTGTCTTATTTAAATTTCTCACCATTGTTTTTCCGTAAACTACAAGAGAAATATTCCTCCTAAACATAAACAAACAAGAGTGACTAGTGTTATTATGTGTCTCATGACATGACAATGTGGCATATATCATTTTTCGGTCAGAATGATTTCATGACAGAAATGTTATTTACGTTCCTAATGTTATTGAATTGAATTGAATTGAATTAATGCCTTATTTTCCGTGGCGTGACTCGGGCCATGAGGCCCGCTCTTCCCTCTGACCACGCAAATTTCGCTACAATCCTTATACCAACGAGCGGAGAAAGGAGGTATTTCTTGGGCGACGAAACAGGCGATTTGAATTTAGCTCAGAGGCGTCATTTAGGCTTGAGGATCTTTTACATGCAAGTAAATCTACTAACATGGGACAGCCGGCTTTACTTCCCCTCCGAAGGAAGGCGTACGAAGGATTTTTTTCGCCCTTAAAAATCCACGATCGGGTTTGAACCCGCCAACTTGGGTACAACAGTCCGATACACCAACCGTTACACCATCGCGCCGACAATTGACGTTCGTGGTTTCAGAGGGAGTACCCAAGCTGACGGGAATCCGCGCCGCCAAGACGGGCCCCGGGTGGCTGGACGTGAGATGGATCCCAGTCAAGGACCAACGCTGCCCCAGTGACATTTATTACCTGGTGCGCTACGGCGCTGACAAAATGACGGACTGGATGTCGTACGGGGTGTTCAACCGCAGCAACGGCGGCGAGGAGGTGTTTCGCCCCACCCACCCGTGCGCCGCGTGGGACGGCGAGTTCTGCCTGCTGCTCACCGACGAGGTCGAGCCGGGAAGAAATCACACTGTCGAGGTGAGTGTCGGAAATTCCTTGCTTACTTGATTGGTTGTTTGTAATTTCGGGCGCGTCAACCGTTAAGGTCGTTAGTCCCGTAAGTGTAGTACGTGTTTCTTCCTCGTGCGGTGGTGGTGATCTATCCCCGCAGAATGGCGAGATCCGGCGCCGACCTACTGTCGGCTAGCGGGGTTTTCCTCAACCAGGTATCTCGCACCAGCGGGACACTGCTTCAACCGGGACAAACTCTAATCTCGACTTGTAACCCGGCATGTTTAGTAGTGTAGTGCATGTCAGTGTAAGTGTGCGTAAGTAAAGGGTGAGGATAGAACAAAGAAGACGGAGGAAAGATCGCGCACGGCCCATGGCCCGTTTGTTGGGATACAGCTCCGTTTTTCGCCTGTGTTGATCGGAGAAACCACGGAAAACTATCAATCAGAGCCGTTGGTCGCAAGAATTCTCCTCCAGATAGCGACTGATTTCGACCTAGCTGACAAGTTAGTGTCGAAAATTCTGCCCCCATCGGGGCTCGAATCTAGGTCAGAGAAATTGCAGTGACATAATTTGATATCCTATGCCACCTCTCACAGTGGTAAATTCGTGTTTTTCATGTTAAACCCATTTTCGCCTCATGTCCTCATTTGAGGTCGCACGTTTCGTGGTCCACTTAAATGTTTTTTTTTTGCGATTTCTCCCTTCAAAAGACATTGACATCCTATCGCTAACCAAAACGCTTTCTCAAAAAAAAGTTTTGTAAATCCTGAATGCTAGTTGTCGATTTAGCCGAGATTGATATTGCTCACATAACCAGAGGGTTACTCCATTTTAAGTGATAGAAAATTAAAACAATAGGCCGTCTCACAACACAAAAGATAATACTTTGGATCTAACAGTGAACAAATATACAGATAACAATTTCAATAGACGAATTCCGTTTGAAGGGTATTGTACTTTTTGTACATAATATTGGTACGTTTCGAGAAATAGTCTTTTCTTCATCTTCAAGCTCAAAAGGGAACAAAAATGAAATTTAGCTAGGACTCTGACTAAATACATTGTTATTGATGTTAAAGACATTAAAAAAGATGTGGAAATAATACCATAAACATTTAATAGCACCTTTATAAAAATGCATGGAGACTCAACATTTAAAAACCACAAATACATTTTATACAAATTTCCACAAACAGAAAGGAGAGCAAAAGCAGCTTTGACAACGCCACCGCGTAATAACTTTTAACTAGTTACCACCGAATGGAAGTAACCACTGCCTTAGTCACTAGTACGAGTACAGGGTGGAGGGAGGGAGATGGCTCTAGCTTAACATTTTGGGAAGAAGAAGAAGAATGTTTTATAGAAAATTCACATAACATTTCACACTGCATCAGATGAAAATGTTTTCTTAATATCAGTTATATTTTCTTTTAAAGTCGCAATAACATGTAGGTCATTAGCGACCACTATTGCATTTAACGGAATTGTAATTGCGAAGATGACATGATGTGGTGATGATGATAAGCGGTCAAAGGACAAACACAAATACAATCATGGCGGAAGTGGGACTCGAACCCGCGATCCTTCAGTCCGAGGTCGCTACGGCACTACTTCCTTAAAGATCTCGGCCTCCAGACCGGCCATTAATTCTTTGAGTTAATATAACAGGCAAAAGTGATGAAGTTCTTGAGATACATTGCCCCACCCTTGTTTTAGATCGCTCCCACCAGTGCCGACAGCAGTTGCTTGCACGGGCGTTGTGGTTGCAGGTGAAGCCCGTGCGATACACCCGGTCGCAGTGGCCCGGGGGGCAGGGCAGCGACGCGGGCGCCGTGACGGCGCTGGCGTCAGTGCTGGCGAACGCCAGCGCGTCGGGCGAGTACGCGCTGGGCGCTCGCGACGCCCTCAGCCCCTGCGTGCAGCGCGCGCGCGCCCTCGACCCCGCCCACGGCAGCGGGCGCGGCGCGGGCGGCGCGGGCGGCAACCTGCAGCGACGCGTCGTCGTTCCCATCTGGGCCATCGCTCTCGCTTGCCTCGTGCTCGTCGCCACCCTCATGCTCCTCCTGGTGGCCAGGCGCAGGCAAAAGTGAGTACGCTTCCTCTCAGCATTTCTCGCCCTGAAGAAGGCTCTTCTCAAGAAAAAAGTTATGTAATGTTGCGGGAAAATACATCGAGTTTTCGACAGAAAAACTCTTATTAAAGGACCCAGGTAAGGAAAAAGTTGATAAATCCTGTTGCTAGATTTAGACAAAATTCTCTATCACGTGGTGCAGCCAGAATCCATTGTTTTG